TAATCCAAGTTTAGAAAATTTTTATGGAGAGGATCAAAGAGTGAGAAATGCCATTAGACCACTGCCGAAATACGAAGTTGGGGACGATGTTGAAAGGTTTATTACCAGTTTAAATATGTCACGTCGACTTTTGAAACCGGGAGATGAATTCAATTTTTTCCATCAAATACTACCAAAATTCGGCCCCAAGGCAAGACCGGCAGTGGCGAGCGCATTAACTAGCATTTATTCAGTCGATGATCCTATCCTGAAGCTTCGTCTTTCATTTGGAACTAGAGAAAATTTACGTCAAATTCTCGCAAAAACGTCACGTTTATATCAGCAATACGGGGAGTCAGTAACCGACTATGAAGCGCGTTTCAGGGCTCTCCAATTGAAAGCACAGAGTCGACTTGACACGGACCCGACGGCTGATTACGGTATTACCATTCATGGCATAAAACTGAACATGAGGGAAGCATTCCTCGCAGGACTCAGAAGAGACATCAAGAACATGATGTTCCCTCTGACACCTACCTCTTTTGACGAAGCCGTCGGCGTTGCAGTGACAATCGAATCCAAATTAAAAGAGACCGAAGATTTCGAACAACTCAGAAAATTGCACGCAAAAACAAAGCAGTTTCAAGGGCAAGCGAAAATTAGAGCAACAGAATCAATCGATGACGACGCCCTTGAAGCTGATTTGAGGGCATTGAACATTAAAGCCACAAATTCAGCCAAAGCCGACGGGCAGAGACGCGGTTTTCAGAGCGGTAAAGGCAACTCAGATTATAAAGGGGGGAAACAAAATGATAAGCGGGAGAAGAAACCCAACACCGCTGATTACAGTTGCTACAAGTGCTCCAAACCCGGACACTTCGCGCGAGAATGTAGAACCCCCTCACATTTAATAAAGAAACAATTCCCCAGAAAAATGGCTTCTGAGGAAACCAAGGGAGAGCGACAACAGGAGGATCCAGCTGTTGCAAGTCCCTCTAACAAAAATTTAAATTAGGAATGAGTCTAGAAAAACTGCGCGATCTGGGACTCAGAGACATGGGCGAGTCAAACGCGCAGAACACGGTAATATATAAGACAGCCCATGTGAATTTCCGCGTAATGGATGTACCCCCCACTCAAGTTCATTTAAAGGTTAATAAAATGGAAGGGGGGAAAGGTCAATTTTTTGTCGACACGGGGGCTGATGTAAATCTAGTGAGACTGGATAAACTCAGCCCGAAAGTAACTATAAATCGCGAAGAAATAATAATAATTAAAGGGGTTACACCGGGGAAATTGAAGACGGTTGGATACGTAACTCTGGACGTAGAGGAAGTCGAGGACAAATTCCATGTCGTCGACTCAGATTTTCCCCTTATAGAAGATGGAATGCTGGGCAGGCCATTTCTAAAAAGTAGGGCAGTCAAAATTGACTATGGGGAAGATACGTTGACTATAGGGGAAGGAATACATACGTTTGTAAACACGGAGTCAATTCCTCTTCCGCCTAGGACAGTCAAATTAATATACGTCAGAGTAAATAAATTCGACGCTGAGGATACCTCCGGCGAAGGGACATCAAAACAGGAGTGTACTTCGGGGATGCGATAGTGAGGCCTAAAGATGGTGTAGCTTTCATGTACGTCTACAATACCCGTGAAACCGAAAAGCGATTTAGAGTTCCATTTGTTGACCTGGAAAAGATAGTCAATCGCGACAGAGGCGGAAATTAAAGCATTTGGGGAAACAGAGAGTTCAGACGATCAACAGCGCGAAATTAGAGCCAATAAAATTATTGAAGTCCTCAAATTGGAGGGTCTCGATGAGGAAGAGCAGGAAGAGGTAAAAGACCTTGTCCGATACAATCCGTGGGTCTATAAACTTGATGAGAAGAAATTGAAAGAGGCAAAAATACCAGGGTATCGTATTAAATTAAAAGATGATGACCCGGTGGTAGTGAGACAATTTCGCCTGCCCTTCCACATTCGAGATAAATTTAAAGAGCAAATAGATAAAATGTTAGAAGCACGTATCATTGAACCATCTGACTCACCATATAATTCTCCAGCATGGATGGTGGGGAAAAAACCAGGCGCCGACGGGGAGAAACGATGGCGCATGGTTGTCAATTTTCGTAAACTAAACGAAAAAATGGTCGCGGACGCGTACCCTTTACCCAACATAACGGGTATTCTTGATCAATTGGGGGGAATGAGGTACTTTTCGACGTTTGATCTGGTGTCGGATTTCCACCAAATCCCATTGGCACCCGAAAGCCGCCCCAAAACGGCATTCTCAACACCAGGGGGGCATTATCATTATTTAAGAATTCCAATGGGAATCGCGAATGGTCCACCGGCCTTTCAAAGGTCAATGGACGTAGTTCTCTCAGGCTTACAGGGTGCAGGATTATTTGTATATATGGATGATATCGTAGTCTATGGGAAAACACTTGATGATCATAGGGAAAAGTACAGATCTTTTGTTGATAGACTCCACAAAGTGCAAATGAGCCTGCAGCCTTCTAAGTGTGAATCCCTGAGGGAAGAAGCCACCTTCTTGGGACATTGCGTGAGCGAGGAAGGGATAAAGCCCAACCCCAAAACAATCGACCCCATTCTAAAATATCGGAGGCCAAAAGACAAAAAGGGCATTAGCCAATTTCTTGGTCTGGCCGGCTATTACCGTAAATTCATCGAAAATTTCGCGACGAAAGCACGCCCCCTAAACAAACNATCGACCCCATTCTAAAATATCGGAGGCCAAAAGACAAAAAGGGCATTAGCCAATTTCTTGGTCTGGCCGGCTATTACCGTAAATTCATCGAAAATTTCGCGACGAAAGTACGCCCCCTAAACAAATTTTTGAACGAGGATGTTCCTTTTGAATGGGGGGAAATCCAGGAAAACGCTTTCGAATCGATGAGACGGGAAATTACGCAATATCCAATTCTAAGACACCCTGATTTTTCTCGGCCGTTTGTCGTCACAACGGACGTATCAGACTACGCAGTCGAAGCAATCCTAAGTCAAGGTAAAAAAAATAGGCGAAGACTTGCCTATAAGCTATGCGTCACGGGTGATGACAAAACCCGAGAAAAATTATACAACTAAAAAAGAGCTTCTCGCGATTTTTTTTGCAATTCGACAATTTCGACCGTATTTATACGGAAAGAAATTTACTTTCGTAACAGATCATCAGCCACTCATGTGGCTGAGATCCACTAAAGATCCGGGAGCCCAATTACGGTGATGGGCCAATGAATTGGAGGAGTACGACTATGAAATTAAATATGAACCGGGAAAATTAAATCTCAATGCGGACGCATTATCTCGTAACCCGATACTGGACGAAGTGGAAGAATCTACTCACGAGCAAATCATCGCTGTGACCAACGAAGGAAACTCACCTATGAAAAAGACAGAAATCGGAGATGCGATATGGTATGTTGTTATACCAAGTGGCGAAAGAATAGGTCCATGCGTAGTTGAAATGATGTGGCCTGATAATAAAGTCCAATTCATGCGGGGTACGAGCCCCGATATCGTAAGGAAAGAGTGTATCGCCGCAGTGAACAACCCTCCACCGGATTGGGATCTCGCTCAGATGACGATAGATTTGTCCAATAATTACCCAGACATGGACGTCGGGGATCTGGTATGGTATAAAATTTTTTCACCCTATCAGACGGAGGGACCTCACGTAATCACCGCAGTGATTTCCCCTGACGTCATTAAGATAAAAAAAGGAAACACTACCACACATGTGCCTAAATGTCGAGTAGTGTCGGTAAACCAAGGACCGCAGGAGGTAGAAAGGACCAACAAACCACCCTCAGAAGCATCCGAGAGAAATCCGGAGGAGAAAGAGAATCCGATTCAGAAAAGGAAACGAGGACGTCCAAGAAGTAAAACAGTAAAAAGAAAGGCTGAAAAGAAAAAACGGGGGCGCCCTCGGAAAATTTCGGTCTCATTCGACGAAAGAACAACGGAGGAAGAAAAGCAAGTCTTCAAAAGGCCAAGAAGAAGCAGTCAATCGCCACCGAGACAAGATGAACCAATTTCGGACGAGGAACTGTCCGAGCCCGAAAGCGAAGCCAGNAAAATTTCGGTCTCGTTCGACGAAACAACAACGGAGGAAGAAAAGCAAGTCTTCAAAAGGCCAAGAAGAAGCAGTCAATCGCCACCGAGACAAGATGAACCAATTTCGGACGAGGAACTGTCCGAGCCCGAAAGCGAAGCCAGTGGAAGTATGTTCGACCCCACCGAAGAGGCATTAATCCCATCGGATGATGAAGAGATTTACCAGGATAACCCAGCAGAGCCAGGGGAGCCAGCTGATCCAGTCATTGACCCAGTGTCGTACGAAGAACGGATAGATCCCGGAGTGGGAGGAGAAGGNCTAGTCATCGAAACCTTCATTGATCAACTAAAGACCGAAAATCTACAGACAGTTAGAATGGCCCACGATTCCGACTCCCTAACGGAAAGATCAAGAAAAGTCATCCGAACACTGCTAAAGGAAAAATTGAGGGGCACTGGCACTCGAATAGTGTTATGTGCTCGACTTCTTGACGTACCAACAGCCGAGGATCGACTTACAATCGTAGAAGAAAAGCACACGTCAGCACTAGGGGGACACAAGGGCATCACAAAAACATTGCACGCGGTAGCAGTGCAATATTACTGGAAAAATATGGCCCAAACAGTCAGAGACTATGTGAACCTCTGCCTGATTTGTCAGAGGAAGAAATTAGTACGTGAGAAAATCCGACATCCCATGGTAATTACGGATACACCAATGAATGCCTTCGAAGTCTCCATGGACATCTACGAGCCCTGAGGAAGAAGCAACAAGGGGTACCGGTACTTACTAACCATGCAGGACTGCTTGACAAAGTATGCTCTTGCTGTACCGCTGAGACATGAGAAGGCGGAAGATGTGGCGCGAGCCATAACGCGAAGATTAATATGCACTTTTGGCGCGCCCCAGGCACTCTTGTCAGATCGAGGTACAAATTTTACAAGCGCGATCACCGCAGAATTTTGTAAATTGTTCCGAATTCGCCAATGTTTAACAACTGCGTATCACCCTCAGTCGAACGGATCTCTCGAGCGAAGTCACCATGTCCTAACCGAATTCCTGAAAACGCAAATCGGAGATAGCGGAGAGTGGGATAAATGGATAGACATGGCGATGTTCGCATATAACACCAGCGTTCACGAAAGCACGGGTTACGCGCCTCACGAGCTAGTTTTCGGGGTAAAACCGCGAATACCCTCGGCAAGATCACTTGAGGGAATAAGGGGTAAACCATACCGCGTATTCTTCCAAGAATTAACAGAGGGATTAAGAAAAGTTCGTGAGAAAGCTCGAGTAAATTTGATCAAATCGAAAAAAAAATCCAAAAGGTATTATGATAGGAAGGTGAAAGAAACACCTTTAGGGATAGGAGATGATGTTTGGCTTCTAAAGGAACCAAAAACTGGCAAGAGGGACGATGACTGGAAGGGACCGTACCGTATCACGGAAATTTTCGAAAATAACAACGTAAAAATCCAGACGGAGAGAGGGCTGAGAATAGTACACCGCGACAAACTGAAGAAAGCCCAACTCCGGAAGATGACAGGTCCGCCAGAAAATTGAAAAAAAAAATAACTTCAAACAGAATCTTTTATTATTCTCTCGATAATTTCTTATTTTCAATCAATTCTTTTCGTACTAAGATTTGATTGTAAATGAGAAGGGGGAGAATGATGAGATAATAAAAGATAGAATCCGATTGAAAATAATAGTAACAAATAAAAATTTCATGGTGTTTCAGGCTCACCGGGAGCCCCGAAATCCCAGGCGTACAAATAACCCGGATAGAAGATGGGAATGGAATGCTGTCAACGAAATATGCAGATTTACGCATATACCATACAGTATGGAAAATGGTAACTCATATAGACTTGACAGAATTCCTGAATAAAAGACAGACCTTCATCAGCCATTGGTTCGTAATGAAGGAAG